CTTTAACTAGAAAACATGGAAGACATTATGTACTGCTAACAAAATATCCAGGAGTTGGATACGGTAGGCAGCAGAACCACACCGGGCCAAAATCTTATAAGGTCCAACATAATGAGGAGCTAACTTTCCCCAGACACCAAAGCGATGCACACCTCTCATCGTGGATACCTTTAAGTACACATGGTCACCAACTTTAAACTGCAAGGGCCTTCTTCGCTTGTCCACATAAGTCTTCTGACGACTTTGAGTAGTCTTCAAATGACTTTGAATAACACTGACTTGCTCTTGAGCTTCTTTGATAAAATCAGGCCCAAAATATCCACGATCACCCACTTCAACCTAGTTAAGTGGTGTTCTACATTTCTTGCCATACAGGGCCTCAAATGGTGCCATTCGAATAATTTCTTAATAACTATTGTTATAAGAAAACTCAGCTAGAGTCAAGCATTCGTCCCACATTTCAGGAAATGAAATGGCACAAGTTCTCAACATATCCTCAAGTACCTAATTTACCATTTCTGTTTGGCCATCAATTTATGGATGATAAGCTGAACTTTTGAGGAGACTAGTACCAAGACATTGCTGAAGTTGCTCCCAGAAACGAGAGACAAAAACTGACCCTCTATCAGAGACGATAGTAAGAGGAACTCCATGCAGGGTCACAATCTGGTCAAAATATAACTTGGCATACTTCTTGGCTGAATACCTTGTATCCACCGGAAGGAAATGGGCGAACTTGGTAAGGCGATCCACAATGACCCAAATAGAATCATACCCCTTTGTCGTGCGGGGCAAACCCACAACAAAGTCCATAGAAATATCCTCCCATTTTCAAATAGGGATAGGCAAGGGCTATAAAAATCTAGGTGTACGCATATGGTCTACCTTAACTCTTCCACAAGTGTCGCATTCCACGACGTACTTGGTGATATCCTGCTTCATATTTTACCACCAATACAAGTGGTGCAAATCATGGTACATCTTGTTACTTACTGGATGGATGGACAACTTGGAATGATGAGCTTCATCCAAAATCTTTCTTCTAAGCTCATCCCTTGAGGGAACAACCAATCTGTTCTTGAACCTCACTACACCTTGATCATCAATACTAAAATGAGGACCACACCCTTCGGCAATTAACTTCTTGATATGCGTAATTTCTAAAACATCTCGCCTTTGCTCTATAATAATTTGCTCAAGTAGATTCGAGGCTAGAGCAATATGGGCTAACACCACAGCATGGTTGAGAAACAAAGGTTCTCCTTCAACTTGATACGACTTCTGGCTCAAAGTATCAGCTACCACATTAGCTTTTCCAGGATGGTAATGAACCTCCAAATTATAATCCTTGATTAGCTCTAACCATCTCCGTTGCCTCAGGTTTAGCTCTGACTGAGTGAAAATATATTTGAGGCTCTTGTGATCCGTATAAATATGCACTTTATTTCCCAACAAATAACGCCTCCAAATTTTTAGAGCGTGCACCACAGCAGCCAGCTCTAAATCATGAGTGGGATAATTCACCTCGTGCTTTTTCAGCTGGCGTGAAGCATAAGCTAACACACGTCCATCCTGCATAAGCACACATCCCAATCCAGTCCTTGAGGCATCACAATACACATCAAACGGCTTGTCAATATCTGGTTGGGCAAGAACAGGAGTAGAGGTAAGAAACTTCTTCAGACTTGGAAAGCTTCTTCACAAGCCGGACTCCATACAAAGTTGATATCTTTCTGAAGCAACTTGGTTATTGGTTGGGCTATTTTGGAGAAGTCAGGAATGAAGCACCGATAATAACTAGCAAGACCAAGAAACTGACGGATCTGATGCACTGACTTTGGAGACTTCCAATTTAACACATCCTGCACCTTGCTTGGGTCCACAGAGATACCTTTTGGTGTCAAAACATGTCCTAAAAACTACACTCGATCTAATCAAAACTCACACTTGCTGAATTTGGCATACAGCTTGTGTTCCCTTAATCGAGTCAGTACTATCCAAAGATGTTGTGCATGCTCTTCATTGTTCTTAGAGTATATCAAAATATCATCAATGAACACCACTACAAACTTATCCAACTCTGGCATAAAGACTGAATTCATGAGATACATGAAGAATGCAGGAGCATTGATGAGACCAAAAGACATGACTAGATATTCATACAACCCATACCTAGTAGAGAAAGTTGTATGTGGTATATCTTGTGACCGGATCTTAATTTGATGATACCCAGAATGAAGATCAATCTTTGAAAACACCTTGGCACCAGCCAACTAATCAAACAAAGTATCAATACGAGGTAAATGATACTTGTTCTTAATGGTTACCACATTGAGAGGGTGGTAATCCACACACATCTGTCCTTCTTCACAAAAATAGTTGGGCAACACCATGGTGAAGAGCTAGGACGGATAAATCCCTTCTCTCATAATTCCTCTAACTGCTTTTTTATTTCAGCTAGTTCTTTAGGAGCCATGTGGTAGGGACGCCGTGAGATAGGAGCAGTGCTAAGTTCTATCTCAATAGAAAACTCCACATCTCTATCCGGTGGTAACCTAGGTAGATCTTCAGGAAGAACATCCGGGAACTCATAGACCACATGAATAGAGGCAAGATCAGGAGAAGCTTCAACATGAGCAACAACTAGTAAGGCTGGATCTGAGGGCATAAGAAGAGACATCATATCCTCGAAAGAAGGAAGCCGTAATTCAACAACTCTCTGCTTAAGGTTTAAGACTACCCCATAGACTCACAACCAGTTCATGCCTAGAATTGCATCTATGCCTTGCCCAGGCAGCATCATGAACTGGAGGCGGTAAGTGTGAGTGGCTAGCACTAATCCGACTGTGTCCGTCTGAGTATTAATGCATAATTGCACACCCAAAGTACTGATTCTATAGGCAATAGGAATAGCCATAAGAGATATATTATGCCTCTGTGCAAACCCCATGCTCATGAATGAATGTAATGCACCAGAATCAAACAACACGTAGGCTGGGTGAGAATCAATGGTGAACATACCAGCCATCACCGGTTCATTCTGTAAGATCTCCTCAGCCTTAGTGAAGTTGACTTGTCCAGAGCGGCTTACGGGCACCTTCTTCTTGATAATCGTCCTCTTGACCAGACGGGAGTTGGCTGAAGGTTGGGAAGACTGCGTAGGCTGGTTCTGTGGACACTCCCGAGCATAGTGCCCTTCCTTGCCACACTTGAAACAAGAACGGAGGTGAAGCAAAGCGGGCTCTCCCTGGTGACGGTGCCTTGATCCCCACACAAGCTGCGGTGGGCTCGCCCTAAACCCTAGATCTTCCCCTTTTCTCCTCAGTGCAACTGACATCAGAGAAGAAGAGTGCGGCGCCGCCGTGGGTCCCCTCACCGGAGCACGCGCTCCCTAGTGGGTGAGCGCGCCGCCGTCGAGCGGTCCTGTGTCGGCGCCTAGAGCCCGCGCGTCGGCGACTAAGAGTCGAGCGGTGGCTGGGCCTATTCTGCTCGCGCAACGGCGGAATTCTACCCGTGCGACGGCGGTGGTGACACGCGGCGGGGAGTCTGGATAGGTCCTCCCCTCCTTCATCCTTCCTCTAGGGTTAGGGTTATAGTTTCGAGTTGGAGTCGATCCGCTTGGCAAATCGAGTCCCCTCCTTCTATTTTCTTGTTCTGATCTACTCCAAGAGCTAGATCTACGCCTAGTTTGGGCTCTGATACCATTGATAGATTAATATAATCATATAGCAGTAGATCTAGTAGGTATAACTTGCATTTAGGATAAGTGGCAAACCCTAGAACATGAACTAGTATGGGATTTAGAGATAGAAGGAGAGAGGGTGTGGAGGTGCAAACCATCGGCCGCCTTCGTAGAAGACGAGCTGGCCATGGGGTTGCTTGTCGGTGGCACGGTGAAGCCCGATGGTGAAGGCGCGGTCGCGGTGGCGGTAGTGTAGAGGCGGCGGTGGCCGGTGGCGGAGCTTTCCGTCGCTGGCAGCGCCCCTTTATAGATCGGCTAGGGTTAGAGGCGTAGGTGGGGTGTCTAGCGGCTCAGGTGAACCTCGTGCCTTGTGCCCCGGCCCCAACCTCCCTTTTTATGGCGCTGTGCGACGGGGGCTCACCAACCATGAAGCGGTTGGACACCCCCGATCAGGGCGCGGATCCAAGTTCCCAATTAAGCCAATTGGTGGAGATCAATCTAACAAGAATGTGACTATAAGCGGAAACAAACACAGCCAGAGACGACGCTCATCATGTGATTGAATTTCCAATGAATTTAAATCAGGTGCCATCACAATCACATCATTCAAATTTGATCTCAACTTGGCCTCCTGAAACTAAAATATAATGATGCATCCACGAACCACCCATAGCTAATTATATCCTGCCATCAGCACTACCATTTCCGTCGCTCCAAATTAAATTAATAACCCTAAAGCTTCTCTAAAATTAAACCAAACTAGACTAAGACTACGTACGTATCTGCCATGCCATGCATGCATCACGCGGTCAAGCCGCCTTCGAACGGCACCCCGGTGGCCGGCAACAACCGAGTAGCCGCCGATGAAACTCCTCACCGTGAACTCAATCGCCTCCTCCGCCAGCGTGATGACGCGGTGTCCCGGCCACGCCACGCGCCCCTCGAGCGCCGCGCCGTAGTACACCGTGTCGTCGGGCGCGCGCGCCGACGCGTCCCACGCCAGCCACCCGGCGGCGTCCACGTGCCCCCCCATGTACGAGCTCATGTACACAACCCGCGCGTACGGCTTTCATGGCCGGCCCAGGTACGTCGAGTTCATCGGGTACTCCCCGCGCACGGGCACGGCGCGCTCCTGCTCCGGCGCCGGCACCAGCCGGCAGCCGTGCAACGAGAAGCCCGAGCTCTGGTTCGGGTCCGCGCGCCCCTGCGATGTCACCGTGTTCTTCTGCCCCGGCAGCGGCCGCCGCGCACGCAGCGTGCAGTTCTGCAGCACCGCCGCCGCGTTGCCGAACACGGCGTCCACCGTGCCGGCCACCTCTTACTCGCGGTACAGCTGCCGCTGCGCGTGCGCGTACAGCGTGTCCTGGTACCCGAGCACAGCGCACCGGTACGCCACCGCCCGGTCCGCGCTCACCAGTAGCGCCACCGCCTGGTGCTCCCCGGGCCCCGCGCGGTTCTCCACCGTCAGGTCGCGAACCATGAACCCGTCCCCGGACACCGACAGCGTCGCCGTGTCGAACGTCCTGAGGCCGTCCCCGACGCTGCGCCGCCCGACCACCACCGTCTCGCCGGCGCCGTCGCCGACGAGCACCAGGTTCGTCTTGTTGCGCGCCACCTTGACGTTCTCGCTGTACACGCCTGCCTTGATGTAGATCACGACTCGGCGCGGGCGCTGTGCACGGGAGCAGCCTCCACGGCGTCGCCGATGCTCTGGTGCGTTCCGCTGCCGTCCTTGGCTACGACCATGTCGGGCACGATGTCAGCGGTCGGAGCATCGAGGAGCCGGCGATCGTTGTGTTTTACCCACCTTGGCGCCGGAAAGGTGAGGTCGCCGTGGCCGCTGCTGGCTGACAGTAGCTGTCGTTTCCTGACGGGGACAGCGCCGGAGACGTCGCCATCCGGTGGTGCTCCCCACGCCTTGAAGATGGCGAGGCTGTTGCTTAGGTGCTCCCTGAGGTTGGCGAGGTACCCAAGCATCTGGGCCTTGACGGCGCGGCCGTCCTTGCCGTCGGCGTCAACTTGTTCATGAAGGCCGTCGCGGCACGTGTCGTGGTACGTGAGCGCCGCGCTGAGCCAGGTCATGACGTCGTCGTGCACGGCGGCAGCTGCGACCGCAGCAGCAGGCGCCGTGGCGGCGGCCACCGAGCGGTTGAGTAGGTCGGCCGCGGCCTCGAGCATCTCGAGGAAGTCGCTGATGCCGTAGCCATCAGCAGCAGCGTCGTCCGGCGGCGCCCGCGCGGCCACCAGCTCCGTGGCGTCGGGGATCGGAGCGACATGGGCACGAGGTCTGCGTCCCGCGCGGCCGCCGCGCCGGGGAGCGCCGCGAGCTCGCTGACGCACAGCGCCCGGGTACAGCGTGGGCCCGCACGTGCGCGTGATCGCCTCGGTAGAAGCAAGGATGACATCACCCGTCGGCCCCAGCCGCACGGCGAAGTAGATGGCCAGCGAGACGGCGACGGCGAGCGCCGCGCTGATGGTGGACGCGAGGATGATGAGCAGACGGCGGCGGCGGCGGCAGCAGCAGCATCCGTGCTGGACGACGACGACGGAGGCGGCTCGGGCGAACCGAGCGTGATATGGGCCATGCATGCAACGTTCGCTCCAGCGGTGGTAAAAAAGAAAGTTTTTGCGCGAGTATTAATTTGTATGTCACGGTGTATATATATATGGCGTGGTCCGAATATATATTGTTACCGCGCTAGAATGGAAATTGATATGGTTGATTGGGTGTACACCTCACCTTGTTCTTAATCCAACTCATCTTGTATACTTTTTAATTTGTCCAATTCGATGTAAATTATAAGATGTTTTGATTTTTCTACATACATAGTTTTTAATATACACTTAATTATACATTATATCTATATACGTAGTAAAAGTAATGTATCTAGACGGTCGCTCAGCTTCAACCTCCGGACGGCGAAGAAGATGGTCAGTGAGACGGCGACCCCTAATTATGATGGACACGAGGACGATGAGCCGGCGGCGGCGGGTGGTCTGGTGCTGGGGCCTTGATTAGATTACATCAAAGTTCCAAGTTTTTTTAACTCTCTCCATCACGTAATTTTTGGTGTATATATGGTAACATTAAATGTAGGTAAAAAAAAATAACTAATTGCATGTTTGATTGTAAATCACGAGTAATCTTTTGAGCCTAGTTAGTTGATCGGACTTTCTCAAATCAAACAAAACTACTCGAGATTCAGATTGCAAACGATTTGCAATCTAAACCTTGGTGGGATGATGATGGAGCCGGCTCGGCTAATTTGTAGCGCTCTGCACGTAACAGGTGTATATATGGTATTGTTACGTGGTAGAATGGAAACTGGCATGCTTGATTGATTGTAATATCCCATGATTTGATATTTTCTCCTCTCAGAACTACTCGGATTCTATAGACGATTACTCCTTGGTTATGATGATCCCATCCACCCATCATATATATGTACACTTTTTTTTGTTGATTGACATATATAAACGTTGGCACCATGCTTGAAATGGTGCCAGCCTGGGTGTGTGTTCCTCTTTTTTCCCCCCAAACTCACTTACCATTATTGGATCCGGATCAGTATTAGCTAGTTTTGTTATATTTGCAGGATTAAGCTCTAGCTAGAACACAACAACAAACCTTCGTTTGAGTTGGTCATTGCAGCAGGCAAGAACTCGAACTCAGTAGAAGAGCGGTTGCCTGATCAGTGGCTATAGTAGTGTTCTTTCACATGCTAGAGATGGCTCTGGGGTGCCTCACCATATATATCCTTGCTGCTGCACACTGGGAGGGCTCAATATTGGTGGCTGCTACAGGTCCAGCTCTTGCCCCTGATCAAGCTAGGCACGGGGCAGACCTCTGAATTTGCACCGTGGATCCTTTGAACTGCATAGCACAGTAGGTTTTTGGAGGTCTTCCTGACCTCCTGCTGCCATCGATCGAGTGTTGTATAGCCAACTATGGTGACCACGACTACTGAACACAAGTGGGGCGAAAAGGAAAATGCTAGTACAAAGAATGCCACCATATGTATGATGGAATTGCTATAACAAATGATTGGTATATCGAACCAATGTTTTATTTCATCTTTCTGTTTTATGTACGACCAATTTTGATTATAAAGTCCACGATACAAACAATCTATTATCTCTTGTTTTCTATACGATAGCTAGATTCATCATCATACAAAAGGTCACATAGTTTGCCATAAGTAGAATTTTATTCCGGATGTGCAGTTGTTTGTGCCAACACACACGAGTTTGCCGATCGCGCACTGGCAACTGGCATCACCCAAGTCTTTCCGGATGGACATGATCACAACACACGAGCTAAGCTCCAATCAGAGACCTAACAGATATTTACAGCTACGGATGAGCATCGTAGTTACTACTAATACTAACATGACATGACAGCAAGAGTGTTGCTGTTACTGTTACCGTTACCCACCTAGACTTTGAGCCCCGGCTCTGCGGCTCTGCGCGCTGCACTGCAAGGTTGCATTATGCAACAAACTTGCCAGTGTCCCTCAAGGTGTACACCAAATGTGGCGCTGCCTCCCTCGCCATTACCGGCTACTAGCAGCAGTCTCACCACTCACCTTCAGTACAGTAGCCTTGCAGCCAGTCGCTCCACCTTCAGTACAGCCTAGCAGCCACCAAGATTCACCATGGTGCAGTGGCTAGCTCCTGCAGCATTGCGCCGCTCCTATTCACCCTCGCCTCCACCTCCTCCATGCTGGCATCAATCTTACTCAGAGCGTCCTTCACGCTCCCCAACGCAAGCTCCAGTGCCTTCACCTTCTCCGCGGCACGGGCCTTCTCTGCACTCATCTCCCTGTACTGGTCCCTCGCCTGCTGGGCCTGGGCATCCACACCAAGGAGGTCGTCGACGCGCCTCAGCAGGAACCCGACGTCCATGCCCAGCAGAGCCACGGACTCCAGGGTCTTCTTCCAAACCAGCAGGTCCTCGCGGGAAGGCAACCGCTCCGCTGTGCACGCCCGGATGCCCGCCGCGATGCTGACCGTCTCCATGATCGCCCCCACGACGAGGGTCAGGTTTAGCTGCTTCAGCAGGTGCCTGTGGAGGAACGCCTTCTGGGAGCGGCAAAGCTCGTAGTACGTCCTCCGCAGCTGTTCCTGGAACTTGCAGTCAATCACCAGGCTGTCCACGACAATGCTGAAGTCGCTGAAGCTCGTCACGTCACCAAAGTCCATGTCTGAATCTGAGATCCTGAGCCCGCCCGCTTCGCTGAAGATGACGTTGTTGTCATTGTCATCGTCTGCAGGGACACTGTGCTCCACTCTGGTAGCCTCTGCAGCATCAGAACATTCAGGGACACTGTGCTCCACTCTGGTAGCCTCTGCAGCATCAGAACATTCAATTTACGAGATTCAATAGTTATTTATTTATTAGACCATGTCCATGTATCAAAGGGTGAGATCCTTATTGCAACTTCAAGAAGAACTTACTTGATAGTAGCTTCCCTTTCTTGCGCGCTTCTAAATTCAGCAGACTGATTGCTCCATCAGTTGCTGTAAATTCGTTAGCTCTTATTATGTATACCTGAATGTAAAACATACAAAATAATAATTAAAATATCGTTGAAGAAATGGGGAGGGGGTGTTTACCTCTCTAACATAAATGTGACCATTTAATTTTCTGTTTTTTTTTCATTTACACCCTTAATTGTCCAAGTGTCATTTCTGGATCTACCCCTACTTATGAACAGATTATTGAAAAAAAAAACATTTTGACAAAACATGGAAAAAGAACTTGCCTTAAATTTCGTTGATTCCACAAGCTGGAAAACCAAAACATCGCCAACCTTAATATCATGTTTAATTGTGAAACCTCTCCACCCACCACTTAGTCCCTGCCTGGAACCTAGATACGTTGTGTGATGATCCTCTCCATTCTCATCTTCTAACATAATTCCAGTGACTTGCTTTGGGAGATGCTTGTTACAAAAGTCAGTTGGCATAGCCTAGGAGCAGAACACAAAAGTTCGATAAAGATGAAGCAAGAAAAGGGACAGATCCCAGATGGATTGTACAAAACTTGTGATATCCTTTGCAATGCGCAGTGGCCTAGTGGGTTGTTGCAAATCAGACACTCAGTGTGCTTTAAGATCCTGAGAGTGATGTGGTACTTGTCACTTTCTTAGTTAACTTAATCTTCTCAACAGTTTCAATGTTTCTTCAGGATGTCTCTCCTCGCATTAAATTTTTTTTTGTTGCATAAGTTGTTCGTAAGAAACAATGATCAAATCTTAAGCATTGGTCAAACATTCAAATAATTAGTAAGCAGTAGCAACTTACAAGCCAAAACCCCCGGATGACATGAGATGGTAGCATAGTCTTGGTAAAGCTAAGATTGTTTTCTGGCAACTTCGCCTGTACCTCCTTAGCTCTAGCCATAGCGGATCCACAGTTGCCGTGAACACTGGAATTAAGTTAAAGATGTAGGTGAACAATTAAACAATTTTGGCAACTTCAGATGCAGTTTACTTATGAGAAAAGGAAAAACATAAGACAAGAAGAAGTACCTAGCACTTAAATTTTGGCCATTAATATCAGATGCCTGTCAAGTTACAACATATTCATAATTAATCCATTCCTTCAGGCTTGTACTAATGGAAAGGCAAGAAAAATTGGAGCTCGAAGAAACAGAGCAATTCTAGATAGAGCAATGGAGAGGGAAATAGTAAAGTCCACTTAACTAGTAGGTGTATGTTTATAAGAGAATTTGAGCCAGCCATACAAAATTTCTAAGCGCTAGGTTTTGAAAGAATTTTTTTTTCTAAGGATTATGAGATTATAAATGAAAACAGGAAGTGTGGATATCTTACTTCAACAATGTTAGTGACGCCAGTAATGATGTTTTGGGCATTGTGTGCCTGAGGGGCACCAGGAAGCTTTTTTTGCTTACTGTCCAGCCTCCTTGACTTCAAAGCCTTTCATGAAATGGAAACTGGGGTTTGAGAAAGCTTAAAATAAAAGATAAATGCAACTGCAGGCCATGAAAAGGAAAACAAACTAGGATCTAACTATGCTAGTGCATATTGGTCATGTAAAATTTCTAGTAGTGAAGCTGTGATTGGAGCAACTGCATATATAGTGAATTTCTGTATAAAAATGAAAAAAAATAGCCTCGTGATATATATTTTTTTGTAGTGATGCTTGCTTATGAATGGAGCAACAGTGTTCTTACTTTCAAAGGAATATCATTGCCCTCATCGTCTGTATCACCACAATGAAGTACCGCTGGCTGGTGACAAACAACAATAGCAAGCTCATCATTCTGCATTCATTCAACAATTATCCTGTGATGACAATATCAAACTAACAGAAGACCAAAACAAAACACATAGTCTCTATATCAAAGAATTGCATAATATTGTTGAATTGATGACGCAGAAGCTAATGGCTAATTTCTGAACTTCATTTTAATGCGGCACAAAACGAACATTTCCAGATGGCACGTTTGATCAAACATACAGCAAACAAAAGAGGCTTGAAGGGCAACACAATCTACAATACCCATCAAATCAAAGACTACAATATCAGAAGTGCCGAGTTCAGAGTAGTGATTCAGGGACTGACCAACATTCAGACTTCATCGAGCAGCAGCACCTCCTAGCGCCCTGACCCCGCCGCCGCCGCCCCCCCACCTCCTCCTACCCCGCCTCCCTCCCCCCCTCCCATTCCCCTCCCCTGCCCTGCACTGTTGGCATCGCGGTGACGCCATTCTCCACCACGCCGCCGCCGCCGCCGCGCCCGCAGGGGCCTGCCGTTGCTGCCCCCGGCATCCAGCCCGTCGGATCTGACGGCCCGCCGGTGGCAGGCTCCGGATCTCGGCCATCTTCAGCTGGTGGCGCTGCGACGCCCGCCCCCCTGCCATCACCGACGCGCGCGGCTTCCATCGGTGCTGAGCCAGCTCATGCTGTCAGCTCGGCCGCTCCACCACCCCTCCTCCCGTGGAGCCCACGCCAACGCCGCCGGGGGTTGAGGACACCGCCACGGAAGCCACCACGGCCGCACCGCTGACGGCCGAGGGCGTCAGCTCTAGCGCTTCCTCCCCTCCGCCGCTGGGGCTGGATGCAAGCAACGTCGCGGCCACGCCCGGGACTCAGGCTACCGTCATGGTGTCGCTGGACACCTCAGGCTCCTCCCACTCGCCGGCCGCGGCACCGTTCTTCCCCGGATGCTCCGCGGGAGGGCGTTCAAAGTGCCGGCGGTGGGCGGACGACGACGAGGAGGAGACCGATGACGACTACCCCGCGACATACCTAGAGGCCGCTCGTCGCCCGGCGAAGCCAGCCTCAGCGCCTCCCGTGCGCCCCCAGACTCGTTCAGCCACAGCTTTGGGACGCCACGGAGCAGGGCCTTTACACTGCCATGCTGGTGCTGAACGGGGCCGACAGGGACATGGCCGTAGGCGGAGGAGGCGCAACCGGCCACGCCCGCAGCTGGTGAACGGCTTGCCTGTGCGGCCAGTGGAGGGCCGTGTCCCTACCCGCCAACGTCTCGGCCGCCGTGGACGGGTCTCCGCCCCCAACACCGATGGGTGGCGTGAGATCCTCCCACGGCAGGTCACAGGATCTGTTGTTGCCTCGACGGAGCCTCGCCCTAGCCAGAAGCAACTTTCGCAGATCAAGAAGATCCCGGCAGAGCTTCACGGCAGATGCTTCAACTGCCTCTCCTACTCGCACCGAGTAGCGACTTGTCGGTTGCCGCGGCGTTGCCTGCGCTGTTGTGGATTCGGGCACCTCGTCAAGGACTGTCGGCGAAGGACTGCTTCGACCTCGGCGGCGCTGGGTGCCAGCCTGCCATGGTTCTCTGCTCGTGACGACCCTACGTCCGCCCAGCACGCGCCACGCGGTGGTGCAAGGGGTGCCGCACCGGGGGCCGGTGGGAGACGACGACGACATCGGCGACGCAAGTCGAAGCCGAAGGAGATCGGCACGGGTGCGCCTGCCGATCACGCCGACAAGGCCCCTATTTCTACTGCTGCACTAAGCTTCCCCGAGCCAGATCTGGTGGCGCTGGCCCTGTGCGTGAGTGCGGGGCCACCTGCATTGGTCATCTCTTTCGACCCGATGCTAGAGGAGCTCGCCGCCTCGCGCGTCGTGAGCCGGCCAATGAGAGCACCAACACCTGAGTTTCTGCCTGCTACGACAGCACCTCAGGAGGTTGAAGCACCAGTGGCGGACACCTGTTCCCCGGCGGCGGCTGCTCAGTGGAAGACAGACTTGTCTCTGATGTCGCCAGTGCAGGGGCCGCCACAACCCACGCCACCACGACTAGGAGCACCCGGCGTCGCAGAGGGTTGCACCACCCCCAGCGACGCGACGCCCACACCACGCGAAGCTGCCCAACGTCTCGCACGTTTCACTGAGGAGGTGCAGCTCGAGCGAATGCCGCCACTAATCGCCAGCACACCCAGGCAGAAGGTGGCAACCATAAGGCAACCCATGCCAAAACGGAGCAGACGGATTGCCGCTCAGCCGCTGGCGCACATTCCGATCTCCAAGCGGGGCGAGGTGCTCCTCATGCGGAGGATGGGCTTTGCACCGCCGGCAGGTCCAATCTCATCCGCGTCCAAGAGAGCTTACGACGACTTTTTCGCAAGGAACTTAACGTTGAGCGAAGTGGAAGCACTGGACGAGCTGTTCCCAGCGACCACTGCTACGACTGGTAGAAGGCTCTTATCGGATGACGGAGCAGAGTCGCACGACCATTAGCGGAGACGCACAACTCCGTAGGTTACGCGCTGCTCGTAGTTCGGTTGTTTACTTTTACGTAATATCAAAGTTTGAAACAGTCTGCTAGGAAGGTCCAGTCAAACTGTAAGACCTCCTAGGGCGCTCATTAGAAGTGTGAAAGTACTATGAACAGGTGCTGAGCTTAATCAAAGAAGCGGTGCTACTCTGAAGCCAGTGTTAGATCATTTCACGCAGGGTCTCACCGTGGGCACACAAACACCAACCTTGTCACTGTCGCTGCAGCTGCTGTTGCTGGCACTGTCAAGCAAGGCGACCCTCTGCTTGACCAAAGCCATCTTCTGCTCCATCTTGCTCTTGGAGGACTGCGCGCCAGGTGGCCTCCCAATCCTGCTCTTGGCAAACTTGGAGCCAGGTGGCCTCCCCCTCTTCTTCTGCAGAGCAACCAACCAAAGCAGATGAAATCAGAAACAGATTTGTATCATCAAAGATCAAAGCTTTCTGTGTTCCTAAATCACATCTGGCAGCGAGTGGCGACAAATCGATCAAGGAGGGAAAAAACATCTTGAGCGATGAAATAAAGTTTTGCGGGAACGAAGAATGCTATAAACAGTAACGCAACACAGAGTGGCTGAGGACTGAAGAAGATGAAGGTTGAAAAAAAAGTATGCCAACTGGATGTTAGTAAAAGAAAGCTAAGATCAAGATAGTGAACAAATATTTGAAAACAAAACGAGAAAAAAAAAAGACAGAAAACACAGTGCGGGCGGTAGCTGGTTAAAGAAATGTAGTGCGAAACAACAAAGTCAACGGGGGAAGAAAGGAACTTGCTTTGAGTAGCGGATCATTCGCCATTGCCTCCGCAACGCCTCGCTGGAATCCTGGAGGTCGGACGCCTTGCTGGAACCCCGTCGCTGCTCGAGGAAACAAGGAAAGGATTCCGCAATCTGTTCAAGTCCAGAAAGTTGGATGGGTCTCTAGTCTCTACTCTCTGAGGAGAGAGGAGAAGCTGTAAATTAAAAAAAAAAAGGTAAAAGCTGAAGCTAGCGGCAGGCACCAAGTGTTCACATACAGTGATTGATGGATTCCACGAGACACGCGGCTATTTCCATCGGTCCGTGGGCTTCTCGGTTTCTCCGCCCAACGCCGTTCAGATTTCAGAAACCTTTCACGGATACACGTATTATTTTGAGCCCTTTTAGCTCCGTTCTATTACGAAAGATGGTCATGGTCTATATACCATTAAAAAATTTAAATACACCGTGATGCTATGATCTTCTATGCCATTTTGTCCACCGTTAACAGCCCTGACCTTCTATGCTATTCCGTCCACCATTTAACAGCTCTGATGTGTGGGCTCGACCGATGACAATATTAGAAATACTTTCTCTCGTAACTCTATCCTCTCCCTTCTTTATGTCTCTGCTCGTTAGGGCTAAGCTGTAAGTGACCCGGCCACTTCTTCCTGCTCAGCCTGTCAGCCGAGCCCGATGCTGCCCACGCGTAGCTCGTCGGCGGCCACGTGTGGCTCCTTTCTTCAGCTCTGCCCCTGCGTGCCAAGGGCCAACGCGCCAGCGAGCTCACTAGCCTGATCCGTTCCCTTCGCCGCAACGTTCCTACCCAGCTGCTGCGGACGCCGGCCGCGGACACCGCCGCACGGCAGCTCGCTCGCTCGCTAGCTGGTTACGACATAGCTACCACCACCCCACCAATGGCGTCGTGGCTGCCGGCATGCTTCGGGCGTAGGGGCGGAGCGACGGCGTCAGCGCCGGACGACGCGACCACGACCGAGGGCGAGCACCAGGAGGCGGCCCCCGGCTCGGTGCTGGTGGAGCTGTTCGCGTCGCAGGGGTGCGGGGCGTCGCCCGAGGCGGACGCCGCCGTCGTGGTGCTGGCGTTCCACGTCGACTACTGGGACTACCGTGGGTGGAAGGACCCCTTCGCACATGAGCTGCAGCCGGTTGCCGATGGAGATGAGCCCCAGCGCGTCCACGTGATCCAGTCCCCGACACTCCACCTCCATCACGCTCTCTCCGTCTTCTTCCTGCTTGGCCAACCGCTCTGTTTCGTGTTTGTTCTCTGCTCTGGGTTCCTCCGAGTAGAAGCCGTTCTCTGCCGTGCTGTCGACCTCGCGGATCTCCAGGGCATGGGCGTCGCCGTTCTCTGCCGCGTCAGACTGCAGGGGGTCGGCCTTGGATCATCATGCTTGTCCAGGCGAAGTTCATGGAGGTAACCTCGGCGCCCCGACGGCGCGCGTTGTCGGCCATGGCAGCCACGGCCTCGCTCTCGTAGTCCTACACGGGGAGTAGCTGCTTCCTGGGCCGGAACGCGTAGGACTCCGCGAGGAGGCGGAACGCGGTGGTCCTGTTGGCGGTGCACACCATGGCGTACTCGTCGTCGGGATCTTGAGCGACGCCATGATGCGCCTGGTGACGGCGTTGTGCCCACCGCCTCCGGCGTTCCCGCTGAGCGCCGCCCAACGCGGCCGCCACGGTGCGAGCCAGGCACCCACATCTCGTCGCCGGCCGAGCTAGGCGCAGCACCCCTACAACCCTTCCCAGCACGCACGGGAGCAACGCCGCGCGGGCGACCGGAGCGAGCAGCAGAGCAGAACCATGCCTTGCTGGCCCCGTTCACTGGGAGAAATTTGGAGGAATCTGGATGAATGTGAAGGAATGTGTGAGGGAGTGAACAGTATTTTTCAGCCATAAACAGTGAATTCGGTTGATTTTAAGGGCAGGTGGATGAGGTCAGCTACGTCGATCTAGCTAGCTTGATGACTCACCGTGAAGTCATGCCCACACCTTATACAACCATTTTCCTTTAGAAACATAAATTCAGAAATACTTTAGAAATACACTTATACTAGACAATTAACCTTCACCGATCATATTTAGATATGTGGCTAAGATTAAAAGATCTCATACACTCATACAAGTAGAACTAAGGGTAGTTTAGACTTTTTTCAGCACAGTTTAACGCCGTTAGAGTTAAAAGTGGACGAAATGACATGGAAGATAATAAAGTTTAGCGTCATGGCATCAGAGAGCGTTCAAACTTTTTAGTGGTCTATAGGTCAAGACCATCTTTCATAATGGCACACAGGTAAAATGCTCTATTAGATTAAGGTGTACTAGTATATACCTATTTTTTTAAAAAAAATCTTAACGGAATTAGAGTTTAGGACATTATTAAAAGAGGTATAATACCTCCTTTTTACCTACTTTGAGGTTTGAATTAATTTTTCAAAAGAAACGTTGAGACACGTGAAATACTGTATTTGTATTTGGGCTTCAGAATTAGAGTTATGGACTTTAGGGTCACTGTGATCTCCGACAACTAGTCTCAGCGGGTTCGTGGTCTATTTTTCAACACACTCATATTTTGAAAATGATGTAGAAGAGTTTAATTTCTATGAAGCTATCTCTACTCCCATAAAACTTTCATAATCTCTCTCTTAATCAATGCAATGACATGTCAGCGTATTTAATGCCCACGAAACTCTATGAAACCCCATTGAAATTGACTTAACTTTTTGGTAAAATCTTTCTCAAGCTTAGGAAATGTTTAATTACGGTAGCAGGAATTTAGCATGCTTAATTTCATAATAAGAGGAAAGAAATAAAAACAAAAAAGCTCACCTAGCTATGCTAGAGACGAACAATCTCACCAACCCTGAAATCTAAGGCTTCAGAATCAAGGTCTAGGACTTCAGGGTCTTTGTGATATCCGACAATAACTTTTAATGAATCATTCTCTCTGTGTGGAAATGCTTAATTCCAATCGTAGGGATTCAACATGTGTAAGCTGATAATAAGAGAACAAAATGAAAAAAACAAAGAAACTCACCTGGCAACGCCAGAAACAAAGGACCGTACCACCCTTTAGATATATGGCTTCAGAAGCAGGGTTTAGGAGTTCAGGGTCTTCGGCACTAACATTTTGGTGAAATCTCTCTCTCTTTCTCCGGAAATGCTTAATTCTGGTTGCAGGGATTCAACATGCGTAAGCTGATGATACGAGAGAAAGAATGAAAACGAAGAAGCTCACCCGGTGACGCCAGAGATGAAGGACCTTGTCGGCCTTTAGATCTGAGGCTTTAGAATTGGGGCCTAGGACTTAAGAGCTTGATGATCTCTGGCACTAAGGAGTTGCTAGGGAGGTCGCCGTACCAACCCCACCAAAGAAATGGAAGAGACCGATTACAAGTGCAGGTAGCGATCCTGAGGTGGTTCACGTGGCGGCGACGATGGAGTTGGTGGTGCACCGCTGGAGCCGAAGCGGAGATTGGGGGTGTTTGGGTCGAAGAGGTGGAAAACCGCTAGGGGTCAGTGGCGGCGATAGGAAGAAAAATAGGTGTGCAGTAGATAAAACATGATGATATAAGTTTTAAGGTTGAGTGGTGAGGGGACATGAGGATTCTTCTATGTATGTGCTTTGTAGTCAGTTCACTCCTCCCTTTCTCTTTTTTAGCCACTCAGATCCTGAGCTTAAGGGGGTGTGTTTGGTTTGAAGAATCTCTAATTATAGATGAGGTGGCGTGTCGTACATAAGTGCAAGCCATAATTTTGGTAAATTGACCCAATTTGTCATGCATAAGTGCAAGCCATAATTTGGTAAAATGACCCGATTTGTCAAATGCTTATATACTAGTTATTAGTTTACTAAGAATGTAGTGATGATTATTGCCACTCAATAAGATATAATAAAAAAATAATGTGAAAATGATAATGGATCACTTATTTCTCAAACTAAATGCCCTCTTAAAAGTTCTGACTCGAGGCTTGTTTTCACCCTTGTTTTCTCAAGAGGACGCTGAACTTCCTGTTGAGAATTATTATTTAGTGCTCAATTAGAGATTATTTCAAGAGGTGTTTTTTCAATCCATTTCTCTTTCACATAGGTAACAATTCACGTGCTCCCTATATACACACACTGTTTATTGGGAATAAAGAGGAAAATCACTTGCATCACTCGATCTCTATTTTCTGGCACGTTATTACACATGCTCGCTCTCCACTGACGCCAAGAGGAGGAACCAGAGAGCAGTTGGCCCGAGCAGAAGAAGTTGCCGGCGTTGCTGTTGTTGAAGGAGGAGTTGTCGGAGACAAGTTCGTGGGCGGCAGCCCCCGCGCAGCCACCTAGGCTGCGGCTGGCGGCCCGCGCTTGCAGCCTTGGGCTGCGGCTGGCTTCCCCGACGAAGGTGGTTTCGGCAGGGACACGCGTGCGCGACCCCCCTGCGCCCGATGGAGGCAGCCCAGCGCTCGCCCCATGCGCCCGGCGGCTCGTGGCCCCGCGCCTACGGCAGCCGACTGCTCCCACAGTGGTCCGTGGCCTGCAGCCTCGGCCA